TCGAAAAAACTACCCCTAATCTGAAGAATCAAATTCAGGAGGTAAAACAATAAAATAACTGATTAAAAAATTTTATGACCAGGTATTTTTACTCCAGCAAGGCACAAACAAAGCTAGAAATGCTCCCTCACCCTCTAAAATTTTTTTAAATCGAAAAAACCACCCTTAAATAGAAAAATTCAAATTTAGGAGATTAAAAATTAAATAACTGACTTTTTTAAAACAGAACCTTACTACATCTATGTATTTTCGCTCCACTAACTCAAAAACAAAGCCACCATTGATTCATCAACCTCTGAATTTGTTTAATCGAAAAAACTACCCCTGATCTGAAGAATCAAATTCAGGAGGTAAAACAATAAAATAACTGATTAAAAAATTTTATAACCAGGTATTTTTACTCCAGCAAGGCAGAAACAAATCCAGAAATGCTCCCTCACCCTCTAAATTTTTTTTAAATCGAAAAAACCACCCTTAAATAGAAAAATTCAAATTTAAGAAGTAAAAACATATTAAATTACCGGCTATTTTTAAAAACAGAACCTTACATGAATGCAGTTTTGCTCTACTAATTAAAAAAAATAAAGCCAGCATTGATCCATCACCCTCTGAATTTTTTTAAATAAAAAAAACTACCCTTAATCTGAAGAATCAAATTCAGGAGGTAAAACAATAAAATAACTGATTAAAAAATTTTATAACCAGGTATTTTTACTCCAGCAAGGCAGAAACAAATCCAGAAATGCTCCCTCACCCTCTAAATTTTTTTTAAATCAAAAAAACCACCCTTAAATAGAAAAATTCAAATTTAAGAAGTAAAAAAATAATAAATTACCGTCTTTTTTTAAAAACAGAACCTTACATGTTTGTAGTTTTGCTCTACTAACTCAAAAAAACAAAGCCAGCATTGATCCAGCACCCCCTGAATTTTTTTAATCGAAAAAACTACCCCTAATCTGAAGAATCAAATTCAGGAGGTAAAACAATAAAATAACTGATTAAAAAATTTTATGACCAGGTATTTTTACTCCAGCAAGGCACAAACAAAGCTAGAAATGCTCCCTCACCCTCTAAAATTTTTTTAAATCGAAAAAACCACCCTTAAATAGAAAAATTCAAATTTAGGAGATTAAAAATTAAATAACTGACTTTTTTAAAACAGAACCTTACTACATCTATGTATTTTCGCTCCACTAACTCAAAAACAAAGCCACCATTGATTCATCAACCTCTGAATTTGTTTAATCGAAAAAACTACCCCTGATCTGAAGAATCAAATTCAGGAGGTAAAACAATAAAATAACTGATTAAAAAATTTTATAACCAGGTATTTTTACTCCAGCAAGGCAGAAACAAATCCAGAAATGCTCCCTCACCCTCTAAATTTTTTTTAAATCGAAAAAACCACCCTTAAATAGAAAAATTCAAATTTAAGAAGTAAAAACATATTAAATTACCGGCTATTTTTAAAAACAGAACCTTACATGAATGCAGTTTTGCTCTACTAATTAAAAAAAATAAAGCCAGCATTGATCCATCACCCTCTGAATTTTTTTAAATAAAAAAAACTACCCTTAATCTGAAGAATCAAACTTAGGAGGTAAAACAATAAAATAACTGTTTAAAAAATTTTATAACCAGATATTTTTACTCCAGCAATGCACAAACAAAGCCAGAAATGCTCCCTCACCCTCTAAAATTTTTTTAAATCGAAAAAACCACCCTTAAATAGAAAAATTCAAATTTAGGAGATTAAAAATTAAATAACTGACTTTTTTAAAACAGAACCTTACTACATATATGTATTTTCGCTCCACTAACTCAAAAACAAAGCCACCATTGATTCATCAACCTCTGAATTTGTTTAATCGAAAAAACTACCCCTAATCTGAAGAATCAAATTCAGGAGGTAATACAATATAATAACTGATTGAAAAATTTTACAGCCAGGTATGTTTCCGCATTGCTGGAGTAAAAATACCTGGTTATAAACTTTTTTAATCAGTTATTTTTTTGTTTTACCTCCTAAGTTTGGTTCTTCAGATTAAGGGTAGTTTTTTTTATTTAAAAAAATTCAGAGGGTGATGGATCAATGCTGGCTTTATTTTATTGAGTTAGTAAAGCAAAACTACATACATGTAAGGTTCTGTTTTTAAAAAAAGCCGGTAATTTAATATTTTTTTACTTCTTAAATTTGAATTTTTCTATTTAAGGGTGGTTTTTTCGATTTAAAAAAAATTTAGAGGGTGAGGGAGCATTTCTGGCTTTGTTTCTGCATTGCTGGAGTAAAAATATCTGGTTTTAAAATTTTTTAATCAGTTATTTTATTGTTTTACCTCCTGAATTTGATTCTTTAGATTAGGGGTAGTTTTTTCGATTAAAAAAATTCAGGGGGTGCTGGATCAATGCTGGCTTTGTTTTTTTGAGTTAGTAGAGCAAAACTACAAACATGTAAGGTTCTGTTTTTAAAAAAAGCCGGTAATTTATTATTTTTTTACTTCTTAAATTTGAATTTTTCTATTTAAGGGTGGTTTTTTTGATTTAAAAAAAATTTAGAGGGTGAGGGAGCATTTCTGGATTTGTTTCTGCCTTGCTGGAGTAAAAATACCTGGTCATAAAATTTTTTAATCAGTTATTTTATTGTTTTACCTCCTGAATTTGATTCTTCAGATTAGGGGTAGTTTTTTCGATTAAAAAAATTCAGGGGGTGCTGGATCAATGCTGGCTTTGTTTTTGAGTTAGTGGAGCAAAGTTTCGTAGATGTAAAATTTGGTTTTTCTAAAAAATAAGTTGATTTATTTTTTATCTCCGAAGTGTGAATTTTTCCGTTTAAGGGTGGTTTTGGTCGATTTAAAAAAAACTGAGGGTGATGGAGCAATTCTGACCTCAGATTCGGTTTCAGCGGGCCAAAATACTATAGGAAATATATGTGTAGTTCAAGAAACAGACAACTTTTTTTTTTTGTGTGCCTGTGTAATTATTTGATATAAATAAATAATTATTTAATAGAAATAAATAATTATTTGATACATTTAATAATTATTTGAAACAAATAATATTTTTTTATCCATTATTAATTATTTTATACAAATAAATATTTACCTCATTCATTAATAATTATTTGATGCACATAATAATTATTTGATACATTAATAATAATTATCTGATACCTAAAAATAATAATTATCTGATGCAAATAAACTTTTAATTTGATACAAATAATTATTTATTTGACACAAATAATAATCATTTTATAATAGTCAAGTAACGGATTATTTAACTCAATTAAAATTTCTTTTAGTGTAATTTGCACTTAACTACCGCTTAACAAGTTGGAAAATATTGAAAACAAGAGTTATAAAAGGAAAGACCTTTTTCATAATTTAGTGAAGTAAATTATTAAAAAATAAACTCATTACAAATGGAAAAACTAACAAGTTTAGAGCCCATTTTAATTTAATTATTTATTTGTTTTTCATTTTAAGAAATAATTTCAAGTTCATTAATTTTTTTTTTAATTTAAAGTTTCAAAAAATAAAATTTAACCAAAAGTATTTCTTTCAAATAAATTATCCGAAAAAAAACTCAAAACAAACGAAATCAATATAAATTGAATATTGTGATATTTTTTGAAAATTTATCCCTTTCTAAAATTAACTGAAATGAGAAAATTAAATTTTGCAAAACATTTTTTTTTTACTATCTATTTTCTGTGATATTAAATGAAGTATAATTAATATTTATTGAATAACTGAAAATAACTGAGAAAAATAATAAATTGTCGATAAAGAGTGAATTTGTAATACAATTTCAACTTTTTGTATAAAACGATAATAAGCTGGAAATACTATTTTTTTTTTTTAATTTTATTTTAGGGATTATTTAAAGCCCGCATGAAAGTTATTTCAAAATACTTTAACCGTATTTTTAATCTATTCATCATAAAATCAAATTTATAATTCAGATTTCGTTACATTATTTATTCGTTCTCTGAAATCAATCCCTCTTCTAATTGAATTTTGATTTCATAAAGTACACGTTACTATTAAAAGGTTTTTGTTCCACGTCCATTTTAATTAAGATCGTTAAGAGAAGTTTATTAAAACAAATTAAAAATATTCAGTTTTCGGTAATGTCACTCTCCTATATACTATATATCTGTGATTTATTTACCAACTGAACATACAATTTCTTCGATAATTAATAATATCAACAAAGAAATTACACTTTGGTTAAGCGGTTTACTTTATTTAAAAAAAAAAGATAATTAAATAAATTTTAATTTTATTTAAAATAGCAAAGCTGTGTTATAAAAACATGAGAAATAAAAATAAAAAAAAAAAATCTTCAAAATTGTACACAACAATTATTGGAATAATATTAGAGAATTCGTGAATTTTTATATTAAAATTTTCTTTTAATTTCAATGTTGTTTCAACATTTTTGGCAAATATATATATATATTTTTTTTTTTGGCAATCAGAACAATTCTTAACGATCGAGTATAATATACTTTTTGAAGAAAGTTCATTAAAATGATTTTTTAAGTATAATGTTTTATAATAAAAGTAACAGGGCAAGGTGTACTATTAGCGGACCTCGCATGTTGTTACGCTCTTAAACATACTAATATTCAAAGGAGGGGGCGTTTCAGCGAGTGGTGCCGAGACAACGATTCAGTTCTGTTGGCCGCGAGACGTGTTGATTATAAACTAATGGCCTTTGAAATATAGAGATATTATACGCGACGCGGACCGGTTATTACTCCATAATTTCGGGAAAATTATTAAAGGAAGGAAACTACTGTCTGTTCGTAAGAAAGCTTAGGTTATATCATCCAGAGATGATTTAGATCAGTAACAAAATCACGAAATGCTATACGTTTTCTAATTTACTACACTGTTTTGCTTTTCTTTTTTGATAAAATTTCTTTCAAAATTTCATTGGAAAAAATATTCTACTCAAAACAATAAAATAAATGTAAATAATCAAAAATTTACCTTAATTAGAAATTAACATTGATGGGAATTATTTTGAATATTCTGGAACACACTGACTCTAAATTTAAAAGTACAAAAAACCCGCACTGACTTTAAACTTTCGAAAAAAAATCTTTTTGCTTTTTATTTCCCTATAAAGTGGTTCATTTTTCCTTGTTTTCTCAAATGGCACTGAAAAAAAAAAATTAAATTAAAAACTGGAAAAAATATTACAAAAGATTTTTTGAAATTCGTTCATTTATTAATTTAACTTTTATCAATTATTTTAATTTATTTACACATCACCTTTACAATAAATAAATCCATAAATGAATTAAAATAATAATTTCATAAAAGGTAGACTTTTGCGAAATTTTTCCATTTTTATATGAATTTATCTTTTATCATCAATAATTCTAATTATTGTTTACTATCATCAAATAGATAAATAAAATAAAAAAAAATTACAAAACATTTTTTGAAATTTTTTCATTCATTAATTTATTCTTTTCTCAATTTTATTTTTAATTATTATTTACTATTGCCCTAATAATAAAATAGTAAATTACATTTATAGTAACAGCAAACAAAACAATTATATTAATTAGAAACAAAATTTAAGGAACATAAATATTAAAAATAAAACTATCAATCTATTTCAATATTTATTGTATTTTAATTATATTTACCGAAATAGCGAACTCGCTTCTTCCATGTGATCCTTTTTAAGCTATTTAGTCCTCGGAGATCCCTACTCTTAGATTACTTTAACAAATTCCCCCTATTGAGAAAATTTGTAAAGTAATTTTACAAATAGACCGAGTCCTAAATAGCTTACAACATTTTTTTTCTCCAATTGCAAAAGAATCGTCGTACCATCTTTTTTGATTGGTGTGACCATCAATGGAGAAAGCTGAAAAATAAAAATCAATTAGAATTCTAAATGTTATTTCGAAATAATAAATTAAAAATGTAATTAATTTTCTCAATTTCCAAATTTTAGATTCTTAAATATTTCATTATTATAAAATTATTTTTTAAATTTTGTCTATTAGAAATTTATAAAATAAAATAAAAGAAAACAAATTTTTTAAATTTAACAACAAAAAATTAATGTAAACAATTAAATAAATATTAAATAAATATATCTAATAAATTATAAAGTAACCTATAAAATTTTATTATTGAGAAAAAAACATACTTATATAATTTATTAAAATAAGCTGTTCACAAAATTAAAAAAAATTAAAGACAATAGAAATTGTATTTTATTCATTTACAAAAATAAATCCACTGTAATATAGCATTAAATATTTATTATATATTTTAGTATATGTAAATAGATTTATTCTTTACATATTGATTAAATGTTTAATAAATAATTTATTATTCTTTATGAAAACAAAATAAAATACATAACCTTCAATTATCTTATTAGAGATAAAAAAAACATTGTTTTAAAAATGCAAAAATCAAAGTATATTATCTTCCACTATATACATATAAATATTATAAATAGTTAATAATAGAGAAAAAAAAGTCGATTTTTTGAATTTTATAAGAATATTTTTCTAAAGTATTAATTATAACTCACCAAGACTGCCAATTATCTCCTTCAATGAGATGAGATTCCACTTCGAAATAAGGCCAAAGTCAATTCATCTGTCCATGAGCATCACCAAATAGAAAACGAGGAAGCTGAAAAATTAAACAATTATTTTTATTAAATTTTCCAAACAAGCGCCATTTTGAGAAAAAATGTTATTGTTATATTATTTTTACTTTATTCAACTTGAAGGGTGTGTTGAAACAAAAGATATTCAAACAATTCGAATTATGGAATTTGCTAATTTATCGAAGCATATCTAAACATATGAATTTTAGGTAATTTCAGCCAAAAGTAAATTGTATTGCAAAATTTACCCCCCTATCCCCCCAAAAAAAAGTCACACACTGCGGACAATGCTTTATTTTAATGCACCAATTAAGAATATTAAAAAACTTCACTGATGATAAAACCTAACCTAAAGAATGGGAGTTTAGTTGAGAAACTTGACATATTTCTTAAAAACATGAAACTTGAAAATATTTTACCATAATAACACAAAAAGGAATTGAAACAGTCAATGACCTTGACCTACTTTTCTGCTTTGATATTTATCAATTACTTACCAATATTTGACAAAATTGTTATTAATAAATATCGTGTCTCTCAACTCAAATAACAATTAAAACACAAAGGAATATTAAATAAATAAATAATCTTACTTTTTTCCTTGAAAAAACATGGACGTCGTAGAGAAACCGCCACTTTCTGCCAAAAAGCTCCACGGGAAATGAACATTAGCAGCACAGCCTATGAACCTATGCTCTGATTGGTCGGGATGTGAGCAGCGCTATGTCTATGATTGGCGGACAAGTTTTGTATGACTATTTCCTGTTGAAAAAATTTTAAATTACATTTATATTTTATTAAACTATAATAATTAAATGTATATTATATTATTTACAATATGACAAAGTATTCATAGTGTAATTTTTTTTTCTTTAAGAAATGTAACCTTAAAATTTTCTATTTAATGTAGATTCTACAATAGATGCAAGAGTAAATCCAAGTGCAAATTATTTGTGCTTGGATGTGCTCGCATTGTTGCCAACTGTCTGAAAGCACAAGTTGTTTTCCAAAAACTTGCAATATTTTCTAATTTTTATTTTTTAACATGTTACAAACTTGCATATGCATAATCGAATTATCGTTTGAATTATTCATCATCTGCTATTGTTATATTTACTCGTTTACTTTGTTGAACAAAAATTTTAATAATAATCCGTCATTGCATACTGAATGCTAAGCTAATGCATTATACCAATTCTCCTAATAAGATGGCGACACTGTGATGGGGATGTCAGATAATGTTTGTACATTCCCTCATTAATTAAAAAAAAAATATTTATTAAATTTATATAAATAATATAAAATAGCTCAATACTAACCACAAATTACTTTTTTCGTTGATTTATAATATAGTACATATAGTGATATAGTAGGAAAACAATAGAAATGTGTTTGTGATTATACATTCTTCAACATTAGAATTGGTTGTCCAGTCCCAATAACAAATAAAATATTTAAAAAATATTTTTTCAAGCTGCACACATCCTACGTCTTGAAGGGTTAACTGCTCACTAAAGTGGTGGGAGAAAACGACCTATATTTATAGACGTTGGCTACAAGAACGCCTGCCAATCAGCGCTACCGCAGTGAGTGCCCCGTCCAATCAGCGTACGGCAGTAGAGGTCGTGATATAAAAGAAAATTTTTCCACAGCGCACGCTCAGTTCCATCTTGGACATCTTCAAGGCAAAATCTGTGTCGTTTCAACAAATTTTTTAAGCAATGTTTTATTTAGCATTCATTGACTTTCCACACTTTTTTGCTGTAGAAGAGGAGATTTTAAGGACAAAAGAAAAAAGTCCTTTGAAACACGAAGAAGTTATCAAGATAATATTGACAAGAATAGAATAACGGCGAAATGATTTTTGTCTCGGGAGTCCTTTACACACGATATCATCAACACAAAAGGTATACATAACCTAATAATTTGATTCTGTTAATTTTTACAAATAATTTTTAAAATATTTATTACTTGATTAGTTAATAATTTATTATTATTGTTACAAATTATAAAAAATTTCCTAACCTTTGAATATGTTCACTAAAAATTTTTTTCCGTAAATGTCGAAGTTTTTGAGAGTTATCAGTAATGGGAAATCAAGTTTTCTTTTTCTACAAACATTTATTTTTTTAATTCCTTACTGAATTTCAAGAAACAAGATCATTGGATTTATCCAATGTGGTGAAAATTCATTATTATATTTTAAGGTGGGAAAATAAAGTGACATTTCCCTTTTATCCATTCGTAAGATGGAGATTTCAAGGACGAAAGATAAACTCCTGTAAAACACCATGAAATTATCAAGATAATAATAGATTATCAAGACAATAATCGATTAACGGAGAAATGATTTTGTCTCGGAGTCCTTTACACTGTAAAAATCATCAATACAAAAGGTAACATAACCTAATAATTTGTTCTTGTTTATTTTCACAAATAATTTTTTAAATATTTATTACTTGATTAGTCAATAATTTTTTTTTTATTATTATTGTTACAAATTGTAAGTATTTTCTAACCTATAAATAAGTTCACTAAATATTTTTTTCTAATAATTTCCGAATTCTGATGTCGAAGTTTTTGACAGTTGTCAGTAATTGGAAATCAAGTTTTTCTTTTATATAAACATTTGTTTTTTTAATTATTTACTGAATTTCGAGAATATTGGATTCATGCAATATGGTGAAAATTAATTATTATATTTTAAAGTGGAAAAGTAAAGTGACATTCCCGTTTTATCCACATGTAAGATAGAACAAATATCTTTTTGTCTTTAATAAGAGAACTCTCTCTCTTTTAATATAGTTGGAAAAATATTTATTAAATTAATTGAAATAAATATTCAAATAGTTTTTTAATTAATAATACAAATTCTAATAATTTTCTAACCTACAAATATATTACGGTTGGCTATAACAATTTTTGTTTTTAATAATTGTAAATTTCGCGACAATCGGTTTTTTTTATAAAAATATTTATAATTAATTTACTAAAGTTTAAATTAATTATACCTTGATTTTGATAAAAAAAAATTTAATTTTTGCTTTAAATAACTTGAAAGAGAAAAATTTACAGTTATGATAATGAGGGAAAATAATTTCATTTTAGATTTTAATAAATTTCTTAGTTCGTTCTGCATTGCCCGAATTCTATGTCGTAGACCACGATCCCTCGTTGAGGCATCGCGTCGACTTCCGGTGAGAATGCAAAGGAACTTCGGGTAGTCCGAGAGAGAGAGAGAGAGAGCGAGAGCTTAGCAAATAGCGGAACTCCATTATTACTCTCCAATTAGCCATGATTAAAATATTTTGGCGTCTCGCGTGCATCTGGGATATTAATAATACAACTTGAATCGGGTGCCGCGTAAAAGACGACCGATTATATGGAAATAGGGAAACGATCGGAAGGAAGGGGCCTTCTTCTTCTTCTTCATTGATTAAATAATCTCGCGGAGAGCCCAACCGATAATGACTTATTTATTGCGCCAATTATTTTCCACCCTATTAGTCCTGACAACGCACTACGACATATCGATCACGATCGTAAATTTCATTTAAAATTCGTTCGTCGCTCGACTTCGTTAATTGCGCATTTATTATTCACGTTAGCTTGTTAGTTTTACCACATTGATCAAAGCCGATTCCCTCGACATTTCAGAAAAATCCTTCCACACAGCTCTAATCACCGAACATTCTTTATCTTTTCATTTATTAATTATTCCCGTATACTTTATACACTCCATTATCCCCCATGAATCTCAATTCAAATTTACTTCTTTTTATTCGAATTTTTTAATTTAGTTTTTAATTTTTCAGATGATGAGAAAAATTTTAAAATACAATTTTTCGCCATGAGGAGAATATAATTTTGTGCAAGATTCCAATGTGATGTTTATTATGGCACGCACTTTCCTAGCGTGAAACACGTAAATTTTGGATAATAGATGGATATGTTAGACCAGAAACAGAACCAGAAGAGGGTCGCTAAATATTCAGGTATTACAGCTCTGCATAAATTCATTTCATTATAGCGTCACCAAACATTGCTTTTGATGCTTCCACTCGTCCCTTGTAACTAAGCTATACCCGACGGCGCTTCATTTCGCCACCCACCCTTGCACTCCTTTCTTGTATTATAGGTTTCTCGATCGTAACGTTTTCCGATATAACTACCTTCAGGGTCGACCTTTATTATCCTGTGATTTTCGTACTTCATTTGCTTTTCATCCAATATTTCAAAACTTGTATATATATATAAAACCACTCAACAATTTTTTTCTTTTTCATGAATCGCGTGTGATTTTAAATGCTTTTCTTATAGAATTTAATTTATATTTATTTATTGAATATAATACCGCATTTTAAATCAAATGAATTATATAACAATTTTAATTATAAATGATAAAATCCGGTTTGTATGATATAGAATCTGAATTTTAAACGGTGCAATCCATTTGGTAGACGATCTGAAATTTAGATTATAAATGGTACATACAATCCGGTTTATATGATCTACAATCGGAATTTTAAATGCGGTGCAATCCATTTGGTAGGATCTAAAATTTAAATTCTAAATGGTACAATCCGGTTTGTATCATCTAGAAATTTTGAATATTTTGAATCAACTAAAATATACTTTTTCTGTTAGAATCAATTTTTCTTATTGATACCTAGAATTTTGAAAAAAAAAAATAATACTTTTCTTTATTTATTTAAAAAATAAAAATTTGTTTTAATATTTTTTTTTTTAAGTTTTTAAAAATTCATAAATGTTGTTAAACCCGTAATAAAATGATGGAGAAAAATGTGCAGTGGAATTAGTTTTTTTTTTTAATAAAAAAGAATTTAAATTTTTTATTCTCTAGAATTTTTTTTTTAAAAATTTGATAATTTTTATAAAGATTAGACTTTTATTTTTAATACTTAAATTAATATTCTATTTAATTGACTCAACGGAAAAAAATGTCATTTGGTACAGCGAAAGTAACAAGTAAATCTTTACTATTCTATTTTCAATAAAATAGTAAAGATTTAACTGAAACAATTAAAACATTTTCTATTCTTGTTAAACCTTTCGCTGTTCCATGTAAAATTTTTCTTCCGTAAATAATAATTATTTGATAATTTCCATGTAAACAATTATTTAAATCATTTAAATTTTTTTCTCACTGTGTCAACGTAATTTAAAGGTAAATAATTTAATTTTATTAAAATTAATTATTATAATTAATTTATAATTATTTTATTATGTTATCAAAAAATAATTTCAATGTTTTTACATTATTTTATAACGGAGTAACGTTTATACTTTTTAAGTTTGAATATGAAAGAAAAATTGCTTGAATGAAGCAAAAATTATATTTTTAAATAAATAAATTGAAAATATAAATTATTTTTAATTTTTTTATTCAAAAAATGTTTTATTATTATTAAACAGGGTGTCTAACGGTCAGGGAAACGTCAGGGAATTTCAGAAAAATTCATTCAAAGTCAGGGAAATTTTTGTAAATTTCTACAAAGATTAAAATTTTTTGTGAATATAAAAATTTTTTAATCTAAAAAAACTTGAATGGTTTTTATTGCCATTTGTTACTACCATTAGAAATTAATTTATTGTTAAATACGTCAGTAACCATATTTTTGTCCAAAGAAAGCAGAAATAAGGTTATTAAAAAGTCAGGGAAAAATAAAAAAAATGTCAGGGAGGAGTCATGGAAAAGTCAGGGAATTTTTTTCTCAATCCTTGTTAGACATCCTGTTAAAATAAAAAAATTTATTTTAATAAACAAAACTTGAAAATAATTCTAAATACAAATATCTCGGTGAAAATAATGCAGATTAAAATTCATTACCTTCTTTTAGCAACTCCAATCATAATTTGAGAAAAATTCATAATTTTTCTTTTTATATATAAAATTCCAAAATATTAAAGACCCCAAAAGTAAATTCTTTTTATTCTATCCAAAGTTTCTTTAAAAATTATTTAAAAAATTGACAATGAAAATGCATCATCATCATCTTTATATTATTATCAACATAAAAAATCAATTTTGACATAAACTAACGAATTAAAAAAAAAATAGAAAATTTAGCTTTTTATCAATCGAATAGTATAGACGAAAATTTTTCTCATTAGATAATTTAAATCATCGAAGTGTATTTATCCAATTGACAGGATCGCGTAACGAAATTGACAAAAAAATTTTATATATACACACACACCTCTTTTAATTAAGGTTTAATTAGAAAAATTGACGAAGAAAATAAATGGATTCTCATAAATCAATTTGGTGTGTTGTCCAATGTAAATGTTATTGGCGGAGGGCAGAAAATATTTGAATATCGTTTAATTGGCTCTACAATAAACGTCTCTCAATGGATTTTGGCGGCAAAAGCTTATACTATGGGCCCCATCGATCGAAACTTTACGCCTCTGGAAAACGCGAGACGAGAGAGAGAGAGAGAGATAGAGATAGATAGAGAGAAAGAGAGCGCACCCGTAGTGTGCTGCAAAGGCTGCTCATGCATATGGAGCATTTCATTATATTAAACCCTTTCAATGTATAATTTACTTTTGCGTGAGTCATTTGAGGACTTGCTCTACTAGCAGCACTCGACGAAGACAGAACTATGCGTATATATATATATATATCGCGGCATGAGGATAGTGCCCGGTATACATTATCCTCATGTGGCGATTTTCAAGCTCCAGCAACAACAGACGATATTGCAAAAGATCTCACATGCACTTTGTTGACTTTTATACATTTTATATGAACAATTCTCGTTGCCCTTTTTATATACCAGTGCCACTGTGAAAAAAAAAAATGTTCAACTTTTTTTTAAAAATTTAATATTGCTTTCTCATATATATATAGAGAGAGAAAATATTCTATTGTAGGAAATTTTCCATTTTATTTTTTTTTTGACTTATTTCATTGTTTTATAAACAAAAAAAAAATGAAGTGATATTTTTTATTCAAAAGCAAAGAAAAAAAAAACAATTTTTTTTTTTACATTGATATTTTCTATATATTTTTTCTTTGTGATTATTTAGATGTTTACTTAGATAAATGCAAATATCATTAAATTATAATGCTAAGCCGTATATTTCAAAACTTCCGGAGTCGCTTTGTTTTACAACTTTGCTACTTAGTAAAAAGCTAATTATCACAACGGATATCATTAGCACGTACAAGCAATTTCCAGTTTTATCATAAGAAAGCAATGCAAATAAAAAGTCTCGATTACTTCACGAGTCTTTTATGAGCCGGTTGGCGGAAATGTTAAATCCACTTAATTATATGACACTCAAATAGTTCAGTTATATATCCACATGAGTGTAAAAATTTTCAAACCAACTGACCAAACTGTAGAATGTAATAAATTTTCTCTTTATGTTCTTCTCTTATATGTATACAAAGTCATAAAAAAAAGTTGCAAGAATTTAAAAATGATCGTTTAAGAATACATTGCAATATTCATATTATTATCGTTATAATTTCAAAATGTAGATTATATTGCTCTCTACTAGAAAAGGATATTGAATTTTTTTTTTTTTTACAAATAAATAGATTACGTGTTAGAGTATTAAATTGAATTTATACCTTTTTCTAATCAAAGAGAAGTGAATTTAATTATTCATTCAATTTTTTTTTTACTTTATATGATTCAGGGGAGAGCATTAAAATTTTCCTGTTTCCACTTTCGTCAATTGCTCTCAAATTCACGCTCGACTGTATTTCAAGACAGGAAATACGTATACCAACCAAATTAATATGCCGGGCAGTAAGTTGTCCGTTGAATTTGCATCATGCGATCCGGCTTTAATTACTGAAAGCCTTAATTCATTATGCAAATGGACATAATGGCGCGAGAACCGACGAACGATTCTCTCGCGCGAACTGTACAAGGCGCGCTTAAAATTTAATATAATGAAGCTACCGCGCAATTAAGGGATTCGCAAAGATAACTATTATTTAATTAATTAATGCGCGCCGAGTATACACACGTTGTCTCCAATTGTACTGTCACCACTGGTGAATCTTTCATAATATTATCCATATTTGAGTAAAATGAGGTTTTATTTATGAAAAGAAGCGGCAATTTTATTTCTATCTCTCTCTCTCTCTTTCTCTCTCAATGTAAAAGATAATTCTGGTCACTCTCGCAAACAGCTAATTGCTTTATCTTTCATTCCACTATCATAAACAAATGTTTTTACATTTCCATTTCATTTTATAACACTCGCGTATGTATTTATATTTAAATTTCAAAATGCAACATTTATAAACTACATCTTTAAAAAATGATTGCATCTCAAATTTCATTTTTTTCATTAAACTTCATTGTACATATTAAATATGTATTTTTTTTAAATATACATTTAGATTTAAAAAAGAACCGTGTAAATTACAAAATAGATTTAAAATTAAATTGCAAAAAAAGAACATTGCAATAAAAAAAAAAACATTGCAAATTAAAACAGTTAATCAAAAAAAAAAATTTTCATATTTACTTTTAGTATAATTGAGTTTTCGACTATTTTGAAAGCTTCGAATAGTTCAAAATTGATCTAATTTTGTCTAATTGTTTTGAGAAATATGTAAAACACTATACTTTTCACACATCAATGAAAACCACATTCTGGTTCAACTCTATAAACCCTTTTCCCTGTATATTTCTCTTGATGTCCTCCCCCCCCCTCCTTGCCTTCTGGGTGAATCGGACATTCACAGTAACACAATTAGACCAACAATCAATAGAAGTGTATAGTGATGAATATGAACTGACAATTCTGAATTCAAATCAGAACAGAAAAAAAGAATTTTTTTTTATTCTAAATCTAAAAATTCGATAATTATTCAATACTATTCTAATTATAAATCAAAATTATTTCAAATTGATTTTATTTACTTTTGGATTTAATTTTATCAGACAGATTAAAGTTAAGACTTTGATTTATGTCACTTGATTTGATTTTAAATTATTTCTCA